GAAGGAGTCGTCTGCAAGAACGGCAAGTGGGAGTTTGCTGTTAACCCGCCTGTGTTTGAGACCCTCACCACAAGCTACTCGAGTGTGACTGGATCCACTCGGGACAAAGCCTACCCCAAAGCCATCATGATTGGCAAGTGTGCCGGGGAGGAGAACTTCCTTCGTGGACTCAGGGATGGCGACATTGAAGCCACGACTGAGAATGGCAAGCAGATGTTCAAGTTCCGGTCCCTGGAAGTGACGGCTACCACTGGTGTGAGGACCGAGACCGGTCACAAGAAGCAAGCAGAGTCCGCCCCAGAGGCCGAGAACCAGTTTCTTAGCTTCTGTGAGAACTTTGACCCGGAGCTAGTCAGCGAGACTGTGCGGCCTGAGTCGCTGTCGCTGCGGGTGCCCGAGCCGCAGCCTCTCCAGACGGGATCGATCCCGAGCACCTTTGCACCCCCTGCAGTGCTGCCAGGACCTCTGGCGATCTGCGACGGGGCCGTGGATCTCCTGCCTGCAGACTCCAAGACCCTAGGCAAAGTGGAGGATGCCTTGAACTGGATCGGATCTGCCAAGACGGCAACTATCAAGTTGAAGAAGATCCCGGATTCGGTGACCTACTGCCACTTGAAACAGCAGCTTGACTCTCGGTGGGAGGCCCTGCTGCCAATGCAGGCCCAGCTTGAGCACGTGAAGCTGAGCGGGAAGGCTTCCCAGACTGGCTTCAGAAACGTGATGAAGCAAGTCGCCCAGACCCTTCTGCAAGTGCAGGAGCTGATCAAAAGCATTGCAGCTTTGAACTAGACTGCTCTGCCGGGCCGAGTGATGTCGAATCGCCGTTTGGACCCTGATCGTTCCCATCAGATCGGGCTGCAGCTGGAATCCCAGCTTAACTTTTTCTCAGAAACGAACAGCAGCTGGAATCCCAGCTTTAGAGCCGAAATTAGGAGTGCGACTACAAGGGCTGGGGCTCCTGTAGCAGAAAAAAGAACAGGGTCTTCTGCGAGTCTGCAGGGTCTTCGTTGAGAGCTCTGGTCCTGTCATTCTGCCAACAGCTTAGGATGCTTGCAATAGGTCTGTTGTTGACTCCGTGTGTGCTGCAGCCGTGTAAGCTCAAAGAGCAAAGGGCACCTGGATGGTCCTCGGACTTGCGAGGCCTGCAAGGGATTAGGGGTCATATATAGGCTATAGAGGTTTAGGGTCCAGGGGCCACGGTTTTTGAAGCAAGCCCAAACAAAAAGCAAAGCCAATAAAAAAAAACATCAAGGGAGGCTTGGCGGCTAGGGTCGCAGCACCCTCACCAGACCACTCCTCTTCGGAGGAGGTTTGGCGGTGAGGGGTTTGCTGTTGATCCTAGCCAGACCACTCCCACACCTGGAGACTTCGGCCAGACCACTCCTTCGGGAGGCTTGGCGGCCGAGGCTCGACCGAAACCGAAAAGCAAGCCGAAGCACCAAAGCCGACAGCCCGAAACCTCAACACCCAAACACGGAGCCCCAAAACCTTAAGTCCCTAAGCCCAACCTCTTCCTCAATTATAAGCCCGAAGTCCAGCCACCCCCTAGAAAACCTTTCTTTGCAGGTCTCGTTCGCCTCCGTGCTGGTCGAGGTCTCCTTCGCCGCCGAGCTGGTCGGCGGTCGAAAGCCCTGCAGGTATGACTAAGAAGAGCCCCTTCTCTCCCATCCCGGAAAGGGAGGAGCGACGGGGTCGGAGGCGAAGCGACGAGGCGGTGGATCTCCGAAGCCCCGCGAGCGACTCTGCCCGGCGAAGCGAGCGGATGGAGATGCCTTCGGTTTCTGAGGCCGCCCAGGAGGCTGAAGAGGCGACGGAGGCCGAGGCAGAGATCCTCACAGAGGAATCCAAAAAAAAGCTTTTGGAGAAAAAGCTGAAGGATGCTAAGAAGGACCTCCAGTGGGTTCGCAAGGATCGCGAGGCCGAGGAGAGCTCAAAAAGGGCGCCGAGCGAGGCCAAGGGGAGCCAAAAAAGGGCTCCGAGCGAGCAGTTGGTGAGCCACATCGATCCTCAGATCATGACTGATCAGGCTCCTTGTGAGCAAGGCCTGTGGTGCAAGCTCTACAATGAGCAGGGCTGCAAGAAGTGGATCCCGAACCGGTGGGCATACAAACAACACTTGCAGACCAAGCACCAGCTCGGCAAGGAGCAAGCCACGGCCTTGGCGGATGCTCAGTGGGATCAGCTCGAGAAAGAGCTGGGGCCAGTCCCACCTGAGCAGGGCAAAAAGAAGAAAAAGGATGAGCCGCCGCCGGATGCCAGACGGCCGAGCGAGCCATCCGAGCCACCCCGGGCGAAGCTGTTGCCTCGCGAGGAGGGTGGGAGAAGCCCAAAGATGCCGAGAGGAGGGGATCCGCCCGGGGAGCAGGGCACTGGCGGTGCCAGCAGCAGCAGCAGCAGGGACCAGGGGCTCCAGCTGCTCCGGGACATGTATGCCGACCTGGCAGACAAGATCCTGAAGTGATCTGTGAAGCCTGCGAAGCCTGCCGTGGCTCCAGGGGTTTGCAACTAGAGGCGACAATAGGGTTCGTAGTAGCAGGCCTAAACCAACACCGAAAATAGCTCTAAGCCCAGCACTGCAAACCCGCCTGTCGAAGCCGGCAAACCGAAGCTCTGCACTGCACCGCCGACGTGACAAAAGAAAGGGTTTCGTGCAGGGTTTAGGGTTTAGGGGTTTAGGGGTTTAGGGCTTCAGGGTTTCGGGTTAGAGGTGTGGGGTTTCGGGTGTTAGGGGTTTGGGCTTTCGGGTCTGGGCTTAGGGAGGGGTTGGGGTTTGAAGGTTTGGGGTCAGGGGTTCGGGGTTTAGGGTTTAGGTGTTTCGGGTTTGGGGTTTAGGGTATGGGGTCAGGTTTTGGTTGAGGGGTTCAAGGGTTTAGGGCTTGAAGGTTGAGGGTATAGGCACCACCCCCCCACCCAGTCGCCCACCCATCCACACCACCTCGACCACTCACCCACCCTCTCACCCCACCCCCCCGAAAGCGCCCAGGCGCCAACCCAGCTGCTTTTTTTTTTTTGCATTTTCTTAAAAACAAATCAAAAGCACCACATGCCCCATCGAACTCAGTGGAAGTTTGGTGGAAGTTTCCCGGAAACTTCCACGGATACGGTGGAAGTTTCCCGGAAACTTCCACGGACACTGTGGAAGTTTCCTGGAAACTTCCACCGTGCTGGTGGAAGTTTCCGGGAAACTTCCACTGATCAGTGGAAGTTTAATGGAAACTTCCACTGCTCGGTGGAAGTTTCATTGAAACTTCCATTGGTTATTACTCTTGCTACTATTACTACTATTACTACTATTACTACTATTACTACTATTACTACTATTACTATTACTACTATTACTACTATTACTAATATTACTATTATTACTATCATTATTATTACTATTACTAGTACTACTACTACTACTACTACTACTACTACTACTACTACTACTACTACTACTACTACTATTGCTACTATTCCTTCTATTACTACTATGACTACTATTACTACTAATATTCTTACTATTATTACTACTATTACTACTACTACTACTACTACTACTACTACTACTACTACTACTACTACTACTACTACTACTACTACTACTACTATTACTACTATTCCTACTATTATTACTAATACTAGTATTGCTACTATTACTACAATTACTATTATTACTATTATTATTAGGATTATACTATTATTACTATTATTACTACTATTGCTACTAATACTATTATTACTACTATTACTATTATTACTACTATTACTACTATTACTACTATTACTACTATTACTACTATTACTACTATATTCTACTACTACTAGTACTACTACTACTACTACTACTACTACTACTACTACTACTACTACTACTACTACTACTACTACTACTACTACTACTACTACTACTACTAAAGTTACCTGGAAACTTCCAGGGCTCGGCGGAAGTTTCCAGGAAACTTCCACCGAGCCGTGGAAGTTTCCCGGAAACTTCCACCGATCCGTGGAAGTTTCCGGGAAACTTCCACGTGATCGGCGGAAGTTTCCCGGAAACTTCCACGTGCTCGGCGGAAGTTTCCCGGAAGTTTCCTGGAAACTTCCACGTGCCCGGCGGAAGTTTCCAGGAAACTTCCACCAAACTTCCACTACCTTTGGTGCCGTTTTGGAAAATGCAGCCCAGAATCTTAAACCGCAAACCAAATTTTGCAAAAAAGCGAAAGAACACACAGCAAAAATGGCGCTGAAATTAACAAAAAAATAAAAAGCAAAAGCTCAAAATGTAAAAACAAAAGCGCCATTTTAGCTGTGCGACTGGAAAAGTATAGTATTATATTAGGAGCAGCAGCACTACTGGCTGCATGATGTAGTAGTAGTGGTAGTAGTAGTAGTAGTAGTAGTAACTTAGTAGTAGTAGTAACTTAGTAGTAGTAGTAGTAGTAGTAGTAGTAGTACTTATTATAAAGTAGTAGTAGATATAAGCATGAAGAGAAACCCAAAACACCCAAACCCGAAAAATCCTCGACCTTAAGCACACACCCAAAGTTTAAAAAACTTACACCCCCCAAATCCGAACCCTACCCTAAACACCTGAAGTCCTGAACCCCCCGAACCCAAACACCCAAAATTTAAAAATCTTAAACCCCCGAAACCGAACCCCACCCTAAACCCCTAAACTCCTAACCCCCCCGATCCCCTCCCCATCCCCTCTCCCGTCCCCAACCCCCCTCCCCGAAACCCCTAAACTTCCAAACCCCCCCACCCTTCCCCCTACCTTCCCTCCCGGCCCAACCTTAGGGTTCAGGGTTGAGAGTTCAGGGTTGGTCGTCTTCCGTCGTCGTCGTCGCGGTCGTCGTCGTCGTCGACGTCGCCGTGGTCGTCGCCGTGGTCGTCGCCGTTGTCGTGGTCGTCCTGGTCGTCGTCGTAGTCGCCCTGTCGTCGTGATCGATGTTGTAAAGCTTTTGGCTCGCAGCCATGCAGCTGCTTAGGCTTAGAACTGGGCCATCGGAGGATTGGCCATGGAAGCAGCCGTGCTTGGAGGCTCCCGGCAAGGTGTTCGGCAGAGAACTGCCCGTCTGCAGGAGGAAGAGGAGGAATCAGAGCTCGCTGTGCATCTGTACCGACAGTTCCTCTGGGGTCATCAGAGCTTGGCACAAGTCCGAACAACCGCCGGGCTTGCTTCGGATGAGTTAACCCGAAAGCGGGCAACTGTTCCGAAACAGCTCGCCACCTTGGCAGGTTTGGGAGGCAGCACAGACTTGACCCATAATCTCTGGAGAGATTTGGAGCGACGGGTGCAGCCGCCGTTCTTGGAACCGAGATATGAGATGCTGCCATTGAATCCTAGGCCAGGTCGCATCCCTTTCTTTGACCCGGTGCAGACTTTCGAATGCCTGCGGACTCGACGTCCAGAGTTCTTCAAGGAAGTTTGCCTTCCCTCGGTTGATGAGCTGGAGGAGTTCTGGAACCAGTGCTCTGGACACCCGGCCCTTCGGCACCATCCAGTGCGAAACATCAGAGGCTTCCAACGTCGGGCAGTACCGCTCGTTTTGCACGGTGACGGTGTGCCAATCACAGCCATAGGGGCGAGCCAGAAGTCCTGCGCTTTCATTAGCTGGAGATCCCTGTTGTGTCAGAGAGCGGCCAGCAAGTGTCAGCACCAGCTGATGGCTGCGATCTGGTGCGACCTGATCGTCAAGGCCGGCGGCGAGGACACAGTGCAAAGCCTTTGGGCTCTAGTGTGCCAGTCCTTCGATGCCGCCCTGGACGAAGCAGCGGGGCATCAGAGACCCTTCCCGGTGCTGCTTTTCGCCAGCGGAGACCTGGAGTGGTTCAGTCTGGCACATGGCCTTCCTCGCTGGAATTCCCTGAAGCCCTGTGGCCTGTGCGGTGTCGCACGACAGGCCATGTTTGGCTTCAGGGCAGTTCCGAGGGTGCCGGCAGACCCGTGGATTCTCCCGAGACATGACTCCCACATTCTTTGTCGGAGAACTCTCTGCAAGGCTTCCGTCTTCCCAGACATGATGCACACGAAGCATCTTGGGGTGGACCAAAGAATATGTGGCAGTGTCATCTGGCTCCTAGTGCACACTGTGATGCCCGGCGATGTTGAATCCAACCGCATCCAGTTGGTGGAAGAGCTGCACAGAGCACACCGGGGACGTGGCGAAAGGCCGGTGAGCAGACTCACACCGGGGATGTATTTGTCCAAAGTCGGCGACGTGGACTGCCGGGAATCCTACCCATGCCTGAAATGCAAGGCTGCCGAAACCAAGGCGACAGTGGCGGCATTGAAGACGGTTTGGGGAAACCGCATGGATCCTCAGCAGGAGCTGCACATCCTCACGAACTTGCTGCTGGAACTGAGCGTTTTCTTGGATACAGAGGTGTCCTCCTCTAGCGACTGGCACCCCACGAAGGCTGAGAGTGAGCAATGGGTTCTTGCTGGAGTCAGCCTCGCTCAATGTCTCACGAAGTTAACCAAGGAACATCTGAAGCTTGGGCGGTGTTTGTTCCAGTTAACGTTTAAGTCTCACTGGCTGATCCACTGTCTCCACTACTCCGAGTACATGAACCCGAAGTTTTTGTGGACGTACAGCGGAGAAGACTATATGAGCCGCTGCAAGACCCTGCTGAAGTCCTGCCTGAATGGCAGGAAGCAGCTGCCGGCACTGCAAAGATTCGGTCGGCAATATGCTAGGGCCATATGTGTCGAAGTAGACAAGGAGTTTCACCGACCCCTCTTTGTGTGACATGCAGTCACGTCCGAAAAAAACCGGCCCGTAGAGTAGAAGTGCACGGAGGAACCGCCTGCTGTATGATCTTCTAGTAATTGTGTCGTTTTTTGCTTTTGGGCTCAAGACCGGTTTTAGAGTGCCTCGGTGTTTTGTTAGTTTCGAGCAATGGAAGTCGTCGGCCGAACCCGCCTGAAGGTGCTGGACTCCGTGACGGCTCCAAAGCTGCAAGGGGCCATCGAGGAAGGGCTTAAGCACATGGGCCATCGTAGCCTCGAGCGAATGGTTTGCGGCTTGGAGAATATGTCTTGGAAGACAGCGATCACAGGCCATGTGGCACAAATCTGTGCCATGGAGGGCTTGCTGATCTGTCTGCTAGGGATTTGCTCCAACGGCCTCTTGCCTCACAAGATGCTGGAAACTGCTCTGCTCAGCTGCCACAAGGCCACACCGTTTGAGATGAGTCGACCAGCGAATGCCACAGGACCCAATTGGCAGGATGCCTGCATCAAGTACTTGATGTTGAGGCTCCGAATGATCACAGGCAAGATCCGTGAAATTGCTGTCGACGAAAAAGAGCGAGCGAAGGCGCTGAAGAAGACTTCGCTGCAGCAACAAGCCTGCATCTTGAAGCTATGCCGCATCCTTAATCCTGGGCTGGCTGCTTTGCCTGCAGACAGTGGCACAGGGCCCTTGCCACTGCAGCTTGTGCCCGAGGCGAATGACTCGTCTGAGGATGAAAGGCAGATAGAGAGAAACTTCAAGCTTCTGCTCGGGCCTTCGG